AATTGGTTGTCTTACATGTCTTCCAGGAGGGGATAAGGGATTCCAATTCCACTGAACATATCAATTAAAGTAAAGTGCGTAGATTTGACGGTTCTTACGTCGCATAAGAAGTGGCAACCCACCAAATTCATAAATAATCATGCGCACAAGCATCAACTTTAGAGTTGACTTTGTTGATACCATACATCTCTTGTCCGAAATCGTACAAAATTCAATTAAAGGTCGATGTCTCCGGTTTAATTTCTTGGAAAAAGCTCTTCAGGGCCACGTCGGCCCTATTCATCCAGGGTGCCGATGTAAAGCCCCTTTGGGTGGAATGCCTGTCGTGACTATGTCCGTCTAGCAAAACTATAATTTCATACTTAATCGACGATAGAAATTTTTTAGAGTAGACTTTGTGAAAAATGAATTTTTTGAATGATGTGTGTTAGTTAAAAAATAGAAAAAAAATTATAAATTCAAAAGCAAAATTATTTTACTGAAAAAATATGATTAAAAATGAGTATTTGATGACAAATGTCAAAATAAAAGCTTAATCTCTTTGATTATTTGATCATCAATATATTAATCAATTGTTGACACGCGCACACATTATCTATTGCTACAAGTCAATATTCCAGAAAATGTTGTGTTAATACTTTAGAGAAGTTTCGACGATGTTATTTTGTTGTTGCTCCTATGTAAGCACAATTGTGTGTGAGCGTATTTTGTTAAGAAATATTGGTTTATTCCCGGACGAGCACAATTTTACAAATTAATATATCTTAAAATAATGTACATTGTTCAAAGAAGTATAAATTTCTGCACACTAATATTCTGGTAATTTTTAAAGATAGTAACTTTAATACAAAATAATATGTTCGAGCACATTATTTTTCTTTTAGGATATCATATTAATTGATTGTTCACGTTTTCCTTTAGAATATCATTTTATTCCTTTAGCCCAAATCTGTAAATTCTAGTTGAATAATATGTCGTTGCTCTCGAAACAACGTAGCTTTAATTATAAGAATATTCACACGAATATTATAATAAGGTTAATGAAGAAGCATAAGTTTACATATGAATATTGTGTTTGTTGCTCGTAAAAAAAAATATTAATAATAAAATAAATTTTATACACATTAATATTCTAGAAAGATATGATATTGCTCCCAAAGAATAGCTTTATGCATAGAATCATGCTACACATAAAAATATTTTTTTCCCCACAGAATTGTTTTACAAATAACACATGGCAAAACATCATTGAAAGATGAAAAAAAAAAAAAAAAAAGACGGACAGGACCTTGTAGAAAACCTATTAAACTTTCCCTAAGTGGAAAATCCTTATGCATGTTGTACTTCTAAAATGCAGTAATGTTAATGCAAATGAAAAAGTATATCTTCATAAATATCAATAATCTAATTTAGGATATGTTGTCGTGTAAATATACAAATATTTTGATTCCAACATATAGGTGTTTATTTTGTTATTTTATATTATTAGGATTTATTTTATGTTTTGAAGAGTTATGGACCAATGATGCAATATTTGATTAGGTTTGGGGATTTTATTATTATTATTATTATTATTATTATTATTATTATTATTATTATTATTATTATTATTATTATCATCCACAACAATATTGAAGTGAATGGAATGTTCTGATTTAAAATTAATACAAGTTGTGAGTTTTTTCTTCATGATCCGAATTGGTATTCGTAGAATTAATGATTTTGCAATTAAGATCAAATATTTGACATTTCTTATGAAAAACCAACACATATTTTATTCCTAATTTTATGGTATATATTTTTGGTAAAACAACGTGTTCATAGTTTCATTCTTCATACACGCATATTCTGCGGAATCAATATGTTATTCGAATGTTCGTGAAATCTGATGGTATGAGTATAACGATTCCCTTTTCGCTCCCTTTGATCCAAAGGAGTGGATGGACTTTGATTAGGGTGAAGGTTATGATGATCCCTAAATATTCGACAAAGAGATTGAATAATTTTTAAATTTGGATGACGACAATTATGATGGTTCTCAATTTTTGATGAAGAGACAAGAACCAAAATCCCCAAGGACTGGTGCCAAAAATTCAGAGAGTGGACCTATAAACATGAAAAATAATAACCACTAATATTAAAGGTTGAACCCCAACCTTGAGGGTCCCCACCACATCGCCCCTAGAGTTTTGTGAGGAAGGTAAATCGTGGGATATGCCCCCAACAGGTCAGGAAACAAGAACTGTCTGTACACTGCCTGTAAACATGAAAAATAATAACCACTTAAAAAAAAAAAAAAAAAAGGTTGAACCTCAACCTTGAGGGCCCCTACCCCCCGCCCCTAGAGCTTTGTGAAGGAGGTAAATTGTGGGATGTACCCCAATAGGTCAGGGAACAAGAGCTGCCTGTACACTGCGCCTACAAGGAGTCCAATTCCATGTTTCAAGAATCGAACCCCTACACTGCGATTACTAGCAAAGCATGAGATAACATCACTCCTATTCTTTACACCACTAGACTATGCCCTAAGGGGCATAATAACCACTAGTATTGTATCACATTAGGTGGTCATCGACTGACTTTTCTCGTTAACTCATTTCATGTGTTTTGTTATGTCAAATGGAATCACAAGATGGACAATATATTGGTTGGTTGATAAAGAGAAAATGAAATTTGATGAAAATGTTGCAAATATATTGCTGGAATTTGGTAATAATGGAAAAATTCAAATCAAAGTTCATGGGCTTCATCACAAATCTGGTGTGCTTTTTGCATTGGCAGATTTTTTACAAGGGAAAATACTTTGTTGGGATGAATACTTGGATCTTACTGTTAAGGTGACGAACAGTGACCTTGAAATAAACAATTGTACCATTATTTATCTTTCACATCCTTATGTGGGGTATTATTGAGCGACAAAATCGAAATCAATCTATTATTTTGAAGATCATTTTATTGGATGCTCAAGATTTTCCAAATCAAGATTTATGCTATACTTGGTGCACTAATTGTGCCTTTACATGATACCAAATGAAGATGCAAGATTCAAGGACGAATCTTCTCCAACCCAAAGAGAATAATGTCTTCAAACAAGGGCGGACCCGAGGAGGGGGGGGGGGATTATAGGGTCAATTGACTCTCTAGATTCTGAAAAAAAAAAAAAAAAATTTGTTCAGCATTTTTTTTTTATGTTTTTTTATTAGAAGATACCCTATAAATTTTATTTTTGACCCCCTAACCTAAGCCTTCTGGGTCCGCCCCTGTCTTCAAATATATATGTGTTCATTACAATATTTTATTTAATTAGGTTTTATTTTATACAGTATGGGACTTTAGGGAACAATGATGCAATATTTGATTAGGTTTGGCAATTGATTTTTGATAGTCCACCGTAACTGTTAAATGTATTATTTGATCCACATAATACTCGGCTATTTTATCTAATAACGTGTGGCTATCATGATAATTTATGTGGCAAACACGTTCACAAGGGTAATATTAACTGTAACACTTGGGAAGTTGAACAAGATTCCAAGTGATATTATCATGAGGGAGAGTTTGTAAATCATTTTTTTTATCGAGGTTTTGTTTCATTTGGTTTTCTTGAGAAAAATCCTTAATGAGACATCTTTCGAAGCTCATTGAAAATAATAATGTACTTTCACTACTAAAAAAGAGAGTTTCAGGGACGGATTTTCCGTTCCTAAAGTCTCAATATCCGTTGCTAATAATATTCACCAATGGAATATTTACAACCATAAATCCGTTGATAATTTGAGGGTCACTAATAATTACCAACGGATCATGTCATAGGTAAAGATTAAACATTTTATAAACGGATTTTCCGTTGGTAAAGTGTGAATCTTTTACCAACAGAATTTCCATTGGTAAAAGTCTTAACTAATACCAACCGACTTTTCGTTGGTAAATATCTACCATTACAATTGGTAAAAATCAATGTTGTAAATAACCGTATGGTAAAAAAGTTATTTGTTTATTTATTTATTATTATTATTGTTATTATTATTATCATTATTATTATTATTAATTTAATAATTACAGTATTTTTTTTATTTTTAGACATTTGAAGTAAAATTTCAAAATATTGTTTAACTCCTTATTGGACCACAAATTTATAGAGGGCAACTACAAAGATATTGTTGTAAACTTCCGATGTGGGATAAGTGAATTATTTTTACCAACGGATAATCCTTTTCTCATTACCAATTGAATATCCGTTGTTGAAAGATTAAAATGTTAAACGGTTATATTAGGCACGGAATATCCGTTGGTAAAGAGATATCATTTTTACTAACGGATAATCCACTTCTAATTACCAACAGGATATTTGTAGGTAAAAGATCAAAATATTAAACGGTTATATTAGACACGGAATATCCGTTGGTAAAGAGATATCATCTTTACCAACGAAAAATTCGTTGCTGATTATTGTAGCTAAAAGTGAATTACTTTTACCAACGGATAATCCGTTTCTAATTACCAACGAATGCAATCTGTTGGTAATATTCGGTACATCATCTACAGAATATCCGTTGGAGGAAGATCCAAATGTTAAACAATTACATTAGGCAAGGAATATCGGTTGGTAGAGATATATCATCTTTGCCAACGAAAAATTCATTGCTAGTTATCGTAGCTAAAAGTGAATTACTTTTACCAACGGATAATCCGTTTCTAATCACCAACGGATTGCATCAGTTGGTAATTATTCGTAGGTGAAAAACTGTTTATAGTAGTGTTTACACATGACTTTTTCAAAAAGATATTATGGACGATACTGGTACTGATGAACCTAAAGAATCTTGCAAAAGTATTGCAAGAATAATTAAATCAATAGTTTGATATACAATACTCTATGAAAACGATAATCCATATTCCTTATGTTCATCTTTAGAGACATTTATCTCTCATGCTTCCAAGATCCCCATCAACATACACAATATGATGCATGGTATGTAACTACTAAGAAAAATCAAGAATTAAGAAATGACGTCTTGTTATTCAAAGTACTAACCGATAAATGTTATTACATGTCCTTTAAAGTTTAATATACCTTTCCAAATTAGGGTTACAATGGATTATTTAACTATAGGGTCCGGTTTATCAACTCCACCTTCACTCCTGAACCAAAAGACCTTTTCAAAGGTTGCTGCATTGCTTGGAATACCATCCATCACCCATTCATGTCCTTTTGGGTAATATATTCCTGTGTGTGGATGAGGCATCCAGCATTCCTCGTCTTCCTCGTGTTTATTGGAAATCACGTCTCTTATGTTTTGACGGTGATTTGACGTGCTCTTGCAACGTACAAGTTGTTGCCTCTGCATCCTGTCACATATTGATGAAAAAATATAAAGCCCTTGTTTGTTATCCTTTAACAAATTAAATTATTTGTTAAAGTAACATTTTTCACCATACATTCACACAATAAAGTATTCTACATACAAACCAATAAAATTTCTTTACATTTTAATCCCACGTTTTTCAAAAATTACAATTCAAAACTCTATAATTTCTCCTACAATGGGAGACAAACATGCTCATAGTTTGAAACCAAAAAAAAAATAATAATAAAAAAAGACATAAATATAAGAGAATTCAGAAGTATACATGGCGAATTGCCTCATAAGCAACAATGGCTTTAGGTTTTTCATCCCAGTTCTGGCCATGGCTCTCTATACACAATGAGTTTCAAATTAGAATTAGACCTCTTATATATATACTCCATACTGAAATATAGAATAGATTCATATTATTTAATGAAGAATAAATTCTGCCTGAGAAAGCAAAAGTGATTTCAATGAATTCTTTCCTCATCACTTTCGGCAATCTGGTTCTAGCAATCTCTGCGATTGTCTGTCATCCTTTGTTTCTAGGATTCCCTCAAAAAAACCTCAACGTTCTCAAAGCGATTCTTTAAATGCTGTGCAAATTAAATAAGTGAAAAATAATTAAATAAGTCATATTTTTTCTCGTTTATTCTCTGTAAATAAAAGTTGTACGTCCAAAAGGAATAGATTCCAAAGCCGCTAAACATATTAATTAAAGGTAAAATGCATAGATTTGATTATTCTTATGGAGGATGTGTTTGCCCAAGAAGTGGAGAAATTGCATGCACGGCAAACCCATCAAAATTCATAAATAATTGTACATACAAGCCTCATTTATATATCCAAATTAGTTAAAAAAAAAAAAAAAAAATTCGAGGTGAACTTCTCATGATCAATTTCTTATTTAATCTCTTGATCGTTTCGCCGTCAATATATAAATATATATACACTCAGTAATATTCTATAAGCATGTTGTGCATTTTTAAACAGTGATTTGACGTTATTTCAACCATGTTAGGCAATTTGTTGTCAAACGACCTTTTCGAGCTATGATGTTATTCGATTTTAATTTTCAGTCGATTTAGTCAAATGACTTAAAGAAATTATAATACCATAATCGAGACGATACGACCCAAAAATTAATTATACCATTTAAAGCAATCTAAATATTTTAGTGTTGTTCATGGCCCAACCCACTTTCTTGGATGATAAAAAATGAGAGACTTTACTTAGCCGTCCATTTGTTACTTATTTGGCCTCTACTTAACTCAATTGTTAACCTAATCAGAGGCAGATATGGGGGAGGGCAATGCTGTCCAAGTCCATATCTACAATTAATTGTCAAAGAAATAAAGAATTTGGGAGAAAAAAATAGAATAATAATAAACTAGTACATAGCCCACCAACAATTAACAATCCAATTTCCATAACCCAATTTCACTAGTCCAGTCCAATCATTAAAACCATTTATTTTTTATTTTTTTTTGCCCCAAACTCAAAAACCCATTTATTTCATTGGTATTTTGGAGAACAGCCTTTATGTTGTAAAGAAGGAAAAGGCAAATGTATGAGATTAAGAATGCAATAGCTTGCTTTTATTTTTCTCCTTATTTTTAATAATTGTATATTCATAATCTTATAACTCTTGAATTCATTCTATGATCTAACATGCAACTCAAAAAAACATAATTAAATAAAAACCTAATTTTCCAATTCAATTATAGGAGCTACATTATATAGACATTAAATTATATCTGATAGTTCAAATATCTCTAGCTTTCTTAGTGACCACAATAGCGGGGTTTCTTGGGTTAATAGAAATAATATATATCATTCTTAATATAATGTTAGATTCATAGAAATATCATTCTCTAATTCGTCCATGAATGCACCCCTTCTATAACTTTGATAGCTAAGTGATTATCCTTTTTCCAACACCTTTGAATTTTATTTATTTTCTTTATAATGTTGCTTTTTAGAATTCATCTCACTACTTCATGTGTCTTTGGATTATAGGGATATTTAAATGTTTTTTTTAAGCATTTTTCAAAATGGAAAAAAATGAAACATGTGATGACGGTAATTTGAAACAAAATGGATGATGATTTTCTTGGTTATTATATAACATTCTAATTTGTATAACGAACGAGAATTTATTATGAGTAGATTCTACTATAGATAAATTTTATGCTATAAATCTACGATGAACAACTTTAAATATGTAATGTAACATTATGAACTTTTTGTTACATATAAATTTTATTTGTGCATTCATTTTTTTAAAAAAATTTGCCATCCACAAAATAAATTTCTGGCTCTGCCCCTGAACCTAATGCTATGTACCATACTTGGGCCACTTGACTTAATATATTAGGTCTTTCTCTCCCTTTGCAAGAAGAACTTATCCTCGCCTCTCTCTCTGTGACTCTTGACCATTACGTTTTTCTTCTATGCTTCTGCCTCCTTTTGGTTTCTATCTCCTGTGGTGATTATATATGAGATATTGTATACCTTTGTGGTCTTCTAAGTAAACTACCTCTTTGGCAATCGAAAGTGAAAGCTTGGTTATTGTCTTGGATCGTTGTTATCGAGTTGTGGTGTTTTGCTTGGAAGAAACAGAGCCTGGTCCGACCTTAGTGATCAATGTACACTCTATATTTGGTATTATAGCGTGGGTTGGTGAAAACTAGCAAAAATTCTGGCCAAAATTGAAAGAAATGATCGATTTCTTCAAATGGGCCAAATCTGAAATCCTCAATTACTCTCAAATCAAACCTCCGTTGGATAAACGAAGGCTGGACCCACACTCAGCAGGTCGAGGCATCCCCAGAGGGATGATTCGTGGTGGAGGGGGAGGCGACGACGCGTGGGGTAGCTTCTTGACGAGATTTTTCTGCTATTTCACTTATTTTAACCTCCTGAATGTACTGATGTGTTTGGTTTAGTGTTTTGGGTTATGTAGAAAAAGTTGGACAATTTTACCCCCAAACATAATCTGTGTTTGCGACTAATTAGAATTTGTACATTTGCTGAATATTTAGGGTGAATAGTGGTGGCCATAAAGCAGCAAATTCACATCTCTTCATTTTACGGATTCAGATAAGTTCGCTCTGGTAAATTGGCTTAACCCTTTTAATTTTCAGCATTAGTACATCATTATGTGGGGGTGATAATAGGATTGTGGTTACCATGAATGAGTAACATTGCTCGTGCTAGAAATTCGAATTACTTGCTCTTAACTGTTTGATTGAGTACTTGTCTTTTGGTTAAATCAGTGTTTCGTTCTTACTATTATAATTGTTGTGGAACTAGTTATTTGTTAGACATATTCTTCTTGTTACATTGTTACTTTCGCTTCTTATTAATTTCGTTAGAATACCGAGACCTTACCCGTTCGAACATTCCCTTGATCTATGACCACGAGTCTTACGAAATTCTGGGAATCTAGAACAGAGTATACTATCTATGACCCTAAGACTGCTTTGTGTGGTTTGACTGTGTTTTGTGCATTTTTTAATGTTATGTGAAAACGACAACTCACAACTTTGATTTGGAAATCTTTAATATAAAAAGTGATTTTTTTATTTGGCAACAAAAAATGAAGGGTATTTTGATTTAACAAAAAGTTTCAAAAGCTATTGAAGGCAATTTTCCAACTGATTTTTTAAAAGAACAAAAGAAAGAAGTCGATGAGCTTGCCTATACCTCAAATCATTTTATACTTGTTTGATGCATTTTTGAAAAAAAATGGAAAATCTGTATTTGCTCAAATTTACTTTGAATAAACTTCACCTGCGTGAACATTTTTTTAGCTTTAAAATGGATCCTTCAAAGGTTCTCGATGATAATTTAGATGTGTTTAACAAATTAGTGCAAGATATTGTTAATTGTGATGAGGATGTGTTTGAAACTTATAAAGCTATAATCTTGCTCAATTCTATTCTTGACTCTTACAAGGAAGTTAAAAACGTTATTTAAGTATGGTAGGGATACCTTGACACTTGAAATTGTCATAGATTCTTTTAGGAGTAAAGAGATGAAAATTATGGCAGAAAAACATGATAAGAGAAGCGGCGAGGTACATATGATGTAGGGTATAACTCAGTTTAGGCAAAACAGTCATGATGGATACCAAAGTAGTAGCGAGTCGAGTAGTAATAGATGGAAGAAGAAGGATAAGAGTAGGTCTAGATCAAAGTCTAGGACTAAGGCTATGGGAACACAAAGCATTTTATAAAGGATTGTCATAAGAAAAAAGGTAAGCTAAAGGTTAAAGAGAGAGATAAGGTCAACGTGTTATCCTTTACTTCTGGTATAGATGACGGTGATGCCTATATGATTACAAGTCCCATTGCATATACTGTGAATTGAATCTAGCTGTTAATTCTTGCATGCATGAGTGGATACTTGATTTCAGTGCATCTTTTCATATGACATCTGAAAAGAATTGGTTTAAAAATTTGCATGAATCTAATGCTGGGCATGTTGTGCTGAGTGATAACTTTGCCTATACGATTGCTGGAATTGGTGACATAAATATAAAATTTGACACTGGCTTTGTGTACACTTTAAAGGACGTTAGATATATTCCTGAATTGTTTAGAAATTTGATTTCAGTAGGAAGACTTGAAAAAGATAACTTCATTGATAAAATTGAAAATAGAATGTTAAAAATGATTAAGAATGTATTAGTTTCTATTAATGGAACTAAGAAAAACGACATTTACATCACTACTGAGGAAGTGATTAGAGGTTTAAACTCCTCTATCTCTTCTACCAAGGTTGATCACACACATACATGGCATAATAGACTTACATACGTAGTCATTAAGGGACTTAAACGTCTTAATGAAAAAGGTGCATTTGGTAATGATTGTGTGTTTGATTAATCATTCTGTGATCACTGTGTAATTGGTAAGCATCATAAAACACCGTTCTCCACCAGTGTTCAAAAAGCTAAAGGCATGCTTGAATATATGCATTCTGATCTGTGGGGGTCCTGCTAGTTATCCCACATCAAGTGGGAATAGGTATTTCTTGTCAATTATTGACGATTACACTAGGAAAGTGTGGGTCTATTTTCTGAAAGATAAATCTGAAACTTTTCACAAGTTTAATAACTAGAAGAGACAAGTGGAAAATCAAACTGGCAAAAGGATTAAATTTTTAAGAACAGATAATGGCCCATAGTTTTGTAACACTGACTTTGACAGTATGTGTAAAAAAAATGGAATAACAAGACATAAGATGATTCCTTACACTCCCAGCAAAACGGGGTAGCGGAGAGAATGAATAGAACCATACTTGATAAAGTGTGTTGCATGATGTTAAGTTCTAATGTCC